TATGATGCTACCTGGACAAGGATGCTATGTGGGGTAACTGCTGGAGATGATCTAAAAGCTGACAACCCTAAAGCTGCAACTGATCCAAAATGCAGCAACTATGGGACAATCCCATCATAGTAGAGTAACTTCAGTACTGAAGGTGCTTGATTACCAGTAGGCTTTCAACCCCAATTCAAAGTGCCTGTGATGATTCACAAATTCCTGTATGGTGTGGCCCTGCCTTACCTAAACTGAACCTGTCCATCCTGCGAGAACGCAGCAAGAAGGCCTGCTTAGAATCCCCACTGTAAAGGGACATGGAGCCAGGGGCCAGCCTTTTTCACTGCGGGCCTCCCTCCTTGCTTCTGGAGATTTCAGTAGCCCCTTCCCTCCTGCCATTTTATACAGTTGTTAAAATATCCAGTATTCCAGGACTGAATGTTTCTGGTGACCATCTGGGGAATTTCTATAAATTGTATGTCTTTTTTTTTGTTCTTATTTTGTATGTTTGTTCTGTTGTACATGGCTCAGATTCTGCAGATGGGGAGGGGGTGTTTACAAAAACTGAAATAAATAAATGAACATTGCTGTATGCTCCACTCTTCTCCCTTCCTTGTATGGTTTTTTTTTTTTTCCTGCCCAGGTGCACACAATTGTTGGGGGGCCATTTGTGGCTGAAGTCCTGGGCAATAAATCTGTTAGTGCTGAGAAACATTAGCAGTGTTTGGAAGGCAACTGATTTCTGAAGAGAATTTACTGAGTTTGGAAATGACATGAAAGAAAATCCTTTTCTTTGTGCTTGAAAAGTGGGCATTAATCTATGGAAGTACTGTATGTTCAAAAGGATTTTTCCTTCAGGATTAAATAATTGTATACGTAGGCTCATAATGAGACAGGTAACCAGAGCCTAAGCGGTTTAGAAATTTTAGAATTTTAAAAATCAGCATCACAATTTTTAGTTAATAGCCTAATTTTCATATTTTATTGATTAAAGCTTCCAGATTCTTTATGCTGTGTGTGGGTATATATAAAAGCTGCATGGAAGTTGAAGAAAAAGGAGAAATGTGTTTCAGTAAATATTGCTCATTTGAATTCCTCAGCTAAATTTCATAATGGGGAGAGAAGGAAAATACCCCTTTTCATATGAAACAAAAAAGGAAGGAAAATGATGCTCTAAAATGACTCATTGCATGTTTGCTTCATTTGCTATTACTGCTTCAAAATGAATAATTATTACTCTATAATTTTCCCCCACACTAATGAGAATTTTGAGGAACTTGAATGCTTGCTCACTACTTTTTATTTGATCTTAATAAAAATATTAAGCTTTTATTATTTATGGATTTATTCCAGTGGTCCACATGGTGGCATTCTGCAAGAGTTGTTGGGAGTCAGGCAGCATACAAATTTAATAAATAAGTAAATAAAAGTTTATACATGTTTATTCAGACAGGTTTTTTCTTTTTTGCATTTAATTTGATTGTTGCTGAAGTGAGGGTTAATTGTGTGGCTGCTATCATTTATTATTTGTGTGTTTTTATCTTACAAGTTTTAATTAAAGTTTTAATTATGATTTTTTTTTTATAGCTACCTTGAGCACTACTCCTGGTAGAAACAACACAAGATGTCAATTTAGTGAATAATAAAACGTAACAGATACTCTGGGACAGCCATTTTTTTTTCCAGAAAAGCCTTTTCATAGCTTTGTAAGTCACTGTTCCATAATGTGTTACACTATTTTGATTAAATATTTCAGAAATTTCATACACCAACTGCACACTGATGAGGGACTCTGACAAAAGGGATTCAATCTGAAAGCAAAAAATTGATAATGAGTGTTCATTTTCTGTTTGAGCATTTCTATATCCACAGTTCAAGGTTGCATTTTTTGAGAT